AACTGACACTGAACACGAATCCCAGTGATTAGTTAAAGATATGTAAGAGACTATGCTTCTAGTTTTCTTTTCAAGTTGTCTATAATATTCTACGATTGTTTTTAAAACCGGACACAACTTCAATTCAATGTGAGAAAAATGAACTCAGACGTATCAGTACGTTACCTCGTATAATATCAGTTTGTATCGTGCAAAGTTTGCCGTTTTACTTGATAAATAAGTTGCCTTGCCATGTGGTCTATTCATATATGCAATCAAATGAACCACAGGCTGTTGAAAAGAAATATTAACCCTCCTTGGGAGAGGAGATTCGGTGGTAATATAGTTGATAGAAAGTTCCATAAGAAACACGGAACGGAGCGTAATTTGTGGTTCATTCGCTTAGTGAAATCTAATTATCGGTTGAATTGGCAAGTTTGGCTTTTCATTTGAGGGACAAATGCAATTATCTTGGGATAAGCGAGGACAGTGTTATTTGTCTACTACACACAAAACGGGTGAAGGTTAAGGAGTGGTCATGTCTTTATAACTCACGATCATTTATAAAATTTCCTCAGTACATTCATCGTACACGAAGGTGAGCTGAAGTAGACAACCAGATATTCAGCTTTGGATTGTTCTTCACAAGCATCACTTGAATCCCTGCATTCATAGTTTTACCACAAACTTCGGTTAGCTGTAAATTTTATGGTTCAATTATTTAACAGATTAGTTATCTGAGTTTTAGATTTTATCTTGAGTAATTTATCATTGCTGTGGTGTCCGAGGAATCAGTGTCCAAGCTCTGCCGGAAGAACTGAAAATCGGTGTTGCGCTAAATTTTCATTTTTCATAAACCACGCAAATTACTTTATTGACGAGCAATTGGATTGGAATATTGGCATCACTCGGCTCATTTCACAAACGTCGAACTGGGGTTTATCATAGTTTATTTGACCACTTTGTTGCTAATTTAACTAACTGAATATTTTCCTACTGTATATCTTTCTCCAACCTAATCTAACGCAATCTCACATTGACATAGTGACAATGGAGATTGCGGGTCATATTTTAATTTATAGTGCCCTGGAGGCTTCATATTGTTCAACCGTAACAAATCCATGAATTGCTATATTTTAAATGGGAATAAAACCGCAATACCAAATTCAGCAATCGCTCAAACAATCTTTAACCAAAATTTTTAAACTTTCTCATGAGGTTTTGTACTGTCGTCTTGCGCCCCATTTTAGATCACATATAATAAATTCTTCAAAACTAATCAGTCAACTCCTTTTCTTTTCAATAACTTTGATCGAGCTTATTGTTTTTTTCAAAATGTACTTCAAAAAAATTGTTCACCTTTGATTGGTTTTAAGGTGCGTGCTCCTCTGAAGCTAATTTATCTATCAAGATTACTCCGTAGGTTAAATTACGTACAGAAATATTGAACTATCATTAGATTACTTTCAATAAGGCAAGGGTTTCAACTGATATCTATATCATTGTAGCAATAATTAGTGCAATAAAAAGCGTTTTCCAAAATGATCAGTGCTTAATGGGACTCCGCCATGCATGCTGTTTTTTGACTAACAACACCATAGAAACACAGATACGATGTCACTTTGCTAGGCTGTTGAGTGTGTTAGTACCAAGGCACTTAGTGCATGTGTTTTCATGCTTTCGATGAGAACCACGTTCCGTCATGCTTCCAACAGACAAAATCTACACTCGTTTAGCTATACCCCATTAACCTATTAGTAGTAGTAGTAGTGGTGCTACACATCCGGAACAAGTGAATAAGAGTAGTGGCGGTGAAAATCGTCAAACAAGTTCCAGCATGCATCGTGTGGTCTGGCACCTAGCACACTGGACAGGAGAAGAAGAAGAAAAGCGCTTCACTCGAACCAAGCACACGCATATACGTACACGAGCGTACCAACAAACACGGCACGCAAGGGTTTCTCTCCGTGTGTGTCCACACATCTATACACTAGGTAAATGTCGGATCCATAACTCGCATATACGCGTATGCTTCTTTCTTCTTGCTCGATCAATCGATAGATAGCACACTACCTGAATAAACCCCATAATCAAAAAGTTGGTTAGCTTAAACCACGCTTATTGACAGGTAGTGAATAGAACACAAGTGCACACGTGTACACGTCTCTTCCAAAGTCAAGCAAGAGAGAGAGAAATAGCACAGTTACTAGACTAGGTCTTTCATAGTACTAGTTTAGCGCGCGCGTTTAAATCACAAGAAATTGAAAGATTTGTTACTTTATTGGACCTTATTTCAAATCAATCGATCACAATGGTAGATGAGTGGATAAAAGGCTGTTGATATGGTGTCACCATGTGCAATCGTTGCGCAGTTCACCAGTTGGTGTGGTTTCTCCTATGCAATGAATGGCTCTCCTACAGTTTGTCAATGGGTAAAGGGTCTCAGTTGGAATCAAAATGGGATGATAATTTTTTTTAATCCAACTCTTACCTTCCAGTGCTTTGCTCATTACTCACTTCTGAACCAATTCACTGGTTGTCAGTTTAGGAATAATGTTTGCAGTTGGAGTTTAAAAGAACAATTGAATAGTAGAAACGATTGTGTTTTACATTTGGCTGCTTTCGTGTTAAAGTTATATTTGTATGTTTGTGAGACGTACATTAGAATGCAGTTGTAGCATTCACAAAGACAACAAAGTAAATGGCATTTCGATTATAACCTTCGGGTTTCGAAATAAGTTTTCCATAATATAATGATTAACTCATTGGTCAAAACTGTCGAACAACGAATAATAACGATCACTGTATGAAAAGAGAAACTCCGCGTTACCAAGAGAGGACACGATATGGTAACTCAAAACCTTAAGTTAAACATTGAACTCCCAAATAGATCCTCGTGAACAACATCATCGATCGAGTGCATCTATCCGCAGCTGTTCAAAATTTCTCGCCAACTCATGTATATATATATCACTGCCTACAGTATTACCAGATGAGGGTACTCGACCTAAAAGCAGGCCAAACTACTTGCATCGAAACTTTTTGAACATTTATGTCGATGGCATGTTCATCTTCATGTATGCTAGTTAGCTAGATGAACCTTTTGTTTGGAGACTCTCAACGAAGTTTGTGCATACATGTGTACATATTCTTAAAATGATAATTTTATATTATGCATAGCAAAGAAAACGCAGACTGAGGGGCCTGGAGACACACTAAGTCGGTTTCGACCTTGTCACACCTTAATAGCAGTAACTGTGATGTCTAGGGTTAAAATGAGCCAGGTTAAATACTCACCAGTTGCTTTTAAATATGAATTTTATTATATCATGTATGGATAAAGTGAAACGATCGAATCAATGGGTAGGATGCTTGCCTTCTACCTTTGACTTCCCGGTTTCCAGCTTCAGTTGGCACGGTGGATGCTCGCTGCAAATGAGACCCTACCAGGTCGGAACAGCTGTACAGTACTTTCTATCAATTTGGTTTACGTTTTGTTTGATCTCTTGAAAACGAATATCATCGTATAACTAAAACATTACTTACAGTACATGAAACTGTATTCAAACACAACTTCGAACATGAAAATATCATTCCATAAATATCCTTGAGATATAGTAGGCTCCGATAAGTTGTTTGACTAAAATGCGTGTAAAGTTTCGCCAACGGGAGCAGAATTAAACATATTTTGAGGCGTACAAATGATGTGTAAAGCCTAATTATTTGCAAGTACCACGCGTAAGCACACATGAACTAGACAGGTAAATATTTTTAATAGAGTATACAATACAACTGAGGTAATCTCTTCATTCTACGCAAGCTCATCTTGCTGTCAGAATACATGATTAATATATCGTGTGGTTTAGATCGAAGTCAGTAATTATTTGCTCAATCCCCTACAAACATCATCCGTTATTTAGGGGATAACAGTTGGGCTCAAGTCACGTGTTCATAGCAAAATACGAAAAGGGATTAAAACAAAGCATTTGAGAAGTTTGGCAGAAGCACTACCACAGAAATCTTGGGTTACCTATAAAGTGAACATTTATTTGATCTATCGTAACTAATCGCCCTCCTAATTTGCTACATCCATCTAACTTCTGTCATAAAATCAAGACGATGCCCATGGCCGATCACATGAAGGGAAGGGCAAATCCAAACGACTACTTGGCTCCTCCAAGAAGGAGTCAAAGAGACGGACCAAAGAAAAGGATCTCGAGCAAAAACAAAAAAAGGAATCAAAGTCAAAACGTCCCCGTTCGAAAAGTTCCGGTCGATTCTCTGCTCTATTCAGCAAAACGCCACGTCACACTGAATCCTGAGCCCTGAGCACTGGTGATGTAACAATATCAGATTTTCCACCCCTTTTGTTATGAGTCCCGAATTGCTTCAAGTGCAATTTTGAGTGTCTGGGTAAGTTCATTAAGCCCCTAACGAAATCTATCCAATTTACTCTAATAAGTAAAGCTTATATGAGGTTATTAGACTGAACACCCACATATGGGACTGCCTTTTTATAAATGGAGTAGTTCACCCACAATTTGTTTCATTATATTGAATTTTACTGGATAACTTTTGCAGCTCTGTTGGTTTCATTCATCCTGTTTTCTCAGACACATTTATACTTGAATACATTCGTATGTATTTTCCTCCCAATAAACTCATTTGCGAAACCGGATAAATTTGCTTCGATCGCTGTTTCAGAACAAGTTCATTGATAAATCAATACTATGGTTTGGTGCTTTGTACGTGAGTTGGATTTTACTAGTCACAGCAAACGTGATGTGGGCGTCTTTATAGAAAAGTTTACCATATTTAGCAAATTAATTTATATATATATGTTCGCTCTGTGTTAGTTGTAGGCAAAATCTGGGTTGTTTGTGGACAAAGAAAACGCCTGTAAGTAGCGCGTGTAACAGAAGCGAGATCTAAGGCACGAGAGGAGGATATGCGGTTGTTTGTTCCACTTTTACTATCCGTTTCTTTGTTGCCGTTACTTCAACTGGATGTACACGCCCACTCATGGTGAACAGAAAAACATGCCCGTTACATCGTAATCTATCGATCGCACTGGCCCTACTACGCTTGCATGCACACGTGTGCTTGTGGGTACACATGGGGAGAACCATGACGATCCACATTTCGGATTTGCTTTCGACTTGCATACCTTACGTGCGTGCCACATCTAAGCGCTGATCGCGGGCATGAGGTACTCTGTCTTATTTTGTACGTATGCGTGTATGTTATCACGTATGCACATGTACGAGCATGGGTATTTGCCAGACCATTTTTTTGTTTGCCGGCACGGGAGAGACAAACGGGCGGAAACGTGGGTAGATGGTGAGGCGAGAAACCACGAGAAAGANTTTAACCAAGGAAAATCGTGAAATTCCAGGGCGTTGATTCGAGTAAGTGTAAAAGCCAAAAGGATAGTAGTTGTGATCCAATTCATACTGACATGCATCAGTTCAGTGGAAAAAGGAACAACGACAAACAGATATGCAGTTGTCGGCTATCAGAAGTATTAACTTGAAACTACCGATCTCGGTATCTGGCGAATCGATCAAAAGCGTTCGAAATATGGCATTTATTCTAATCTGTGCGGGATTTAGCTTTTAGAAATAATCGCTACACATCAGTATTTCCACTTAGACGAAGAAGTTGTGCTATTTCATTTATGAGACACACATACATCTTCAGTTTGCCTTCAGTCTTCAGGATTGAGGGCAGAGGGCAGGGTGCCCGTATAAGCCCCATTACCACTGGGTCGAAGGTTCGATCACAAGTGTTCGTTCCTCCATAGCCCCTTCAGGTGATCATTCAGACGCCGTTTGAAAACACCGTCTGTCTTCTGCTCCACCACGGTCGCTGGAAGGGAATTCCAGAGTGTTGTTGACCTACGCGAGAGTCGGTAGACTAACGGAAGACCAAGTGACTGAAGTTTCCGCAGCGTTAGAGAGTGCCCCCGCGTGCGGTGCTCTGTCCGTAAAGGGAAGTACTGTTGCAGGTCCGGGCCCATATCACCTCTCAGGATTTTCCTAATTAGAGTTTAACATGAATAAAAAGCTGCTCCATCCTGTGATATTCCCCTTGCTGATGAAATATAGTAGTACAAGTTCATCGTGAGAGTTAAGGAATCGGTATCCAGTTAGTTCTTTAATTTACAGCTTCCTAAAAGCGGAAAACAAACCGAATTTTGTGTTACAGTTTACGAATCATGTTCTCTCCTTTCAAACAGGCACTTGTAAGGCATTTGTTAGCACTACGTTCACCTGAATCCATGTTTTATGGCGATAACCATCCCAACTCATTTGCAAGGGAAATTTCAGTGCAAGTTGATGGATGATTATTTGTTTCAGCATATCACGAGATAAACAAATAAATTTCAGATGCATTTTGTTTACTCACTTGAAATCTGCATGTGACAATAAATTATTTCATCTTTCACTCCCTCCAAGTTCCTCACCCGGAACGCAACATGTTCAATAAGAAAGGACCAAATTGATGAAAAACTGCCCCATGTCAATCTTGTGCTTCAACGTGTCCCGTTGTCTGTTCCCAGTCGTCCCGTCGTTTGAAGTCCCTTTCAACTCGTCTGAACAATTGATATCACACTGGTTCCGATCGATTCAACCTTCCCCCACTTCAGGCAGCAACTGCAAAAAACGTCAGCGAATTTCCCTCCTCAGCTGCAAAGATTTTTAGTACTACTACTACTACTACCACCATCAATAAAAGTTTAAATTGTGGATAGTAGTTTGGCTTAAGTTGCGTACTTTTCGTTCAGTGGTACGAGCATACCCTCGCTGCCCAAAAGATTCATCAACAAGCTTTCGTCACCCCGAAGGGCGTACAGATGGGACCTCTCTCGAATTTATTCTCACCCCAAGAGCTCTGTCTATCAATCCTGTATTTCCCTTTGTGTTTCCCACCATTTAACTGGTCGCAGACAATTATTCTTCTGTGACAGATCTACTAGTGTGCAAGCTGAAACGCATCTCACTTCCAGCTTTCTCTGTATAAAAGCGAACCGGGTAGAGATTTGTGCAAAATATCTTCCAAAAATTGCTTTGATTCATCAAAAATCTTTTTTAATCTATCTTGGGGTTTATTGCGTTTGCTGCCGCCTACGTTTTGTGACTTACATTTCTTTACCTACGCAACTTTTTACACTTATACACAGATACAAACGACACATCAGAAAACAAATCAATAACATTCAAAATGGATCAGAAAAAACTCAGTCAGTCAGCCAGTCAAGAAACCAACGAACCAGCAAACCAACAAACTGCTCCCTTCAACCACCCCGTTGCTTTCGAATTCTAACTTTGATCCAGTTGATCTTGCATGGAATGCGCACAGTGTTTCGTAAAGTAAAGTAAAGCCCATTATTGTCAGTTTTATCCCAACAATGTAAATCATCCTCTGATTTGGCTACCTAAATTTTGTTGCTTTTTATTGTGCAAGCTTTCATAAAAAACAGAATCTGTTGGCAAATTATTGTGAACTCATCTTTTTTTTGAACAACTGCCCTTCACTTGCACCTTCAAAACAAACACACGTACAGACAGACAGGTATGTTCGTGGTCGTTCATATGATAAATCGAGAACCACCCTTTCCCAATTCTGCAATCAGTGGTTCATAATGCATGGAGAAAAATATTTTTGCGACTCACCGACATAATGTTTTGCATTATTTATCTAGTGGATGGAATCAACATTTCACCGTAAATATCTCTTTGTGTGCTTTTGAGTTACGAGGCTCGGTTGATCAATCATCAGAGTTGTACTGGTATGATGATGATAAAGCTGCAACTCGAGCAGTCGCTAGAACTTTCCGGTACAATTAACGCATTTGATGCTTTTGGCTGAACATTTTGTTGCCGATCAGTAAGGGCATTATCACCACATCGCACGAAATCCGCAAAACTTGATGTCAGCCAAAACGTTTTTTGAGAAAACCATTCTCGATAACGTCTCACAAAGAAGAAAGAATAGTAAATTATTCAAATTCACGTAACTTCGTGATCTAAATTTCTAAGCCATATAAATGCTATAGGAAAATTCGAACGAGTTAAGCGAGTTTTACTCACTAGAGTTGGGCATCCGTGTTAGGTGGGTTTCAAATAGCTTTGGTCAGTTCAGCGTTGCAGTGTGTAACTTTACTGAATACTGACACTTCAAAACAACCTCGTGATCGGCTGATTTATTCATAAGTTGATCATTTCACTGCCACCTATAAAACTTCCCTTCTCCGATATATGTACGTTAGCAGTAGTAGATTGACTCAGCTGAATTTGTGCAATCCTTTCTTCCCGAACGATTGGCAAAAGAGGGCATATATTTTGGCTCAAATTAATCACATTCGAACTATTGCATATTTGACTTATATATAACCATTTACGAGTTTACTTGAAATTGGCCTGCAGATCGAGCTGTTGCTTATATTCCCCAAATTTCAATGAGCTGCTCGTCATCTATGAGAAATAAAGCCAGTTACTCCAATTCTTACACTTCATCAGGAGAAACTTATCATAGAAAGTTAAAAATTTGCCCCTTATCGACAATTCCTGATCGTAGAGGTAGTTTTTAGTAAGCTACTTTTGCAAGGTAAGTCGTGTGAATTTTTCCATTAAAACTTGAACCACTACGACTGAAGAAAAAGGATGAATCGAGCCCATCTATTTGATTGAATGCGAATTGATAACAGTTTGACGATCAAATAAGAAATGTCCCCAAATCCGTATGTCTTACTGGTGAAATTCGGAATAATTATATTCACTAGACGTGTGATACACCAAAACGTTTTTGGGTACCACATCCTTCCCGTCATTCCAACCCCTGGGTTCAACGATTTAAAAATACTATTCATTTGCCATCATTGTCATCGCAGTCTCTTAACAGATGATAGTACAGTGTACTTCACCGGTCATTGTCAGACCAACAATATGCAAAAACTGAATTTGATTTTGCAGTGTTGGTAACAATCTAGGCTATTTGAAGAACCGAAAAAGAAATGAAAAACTGAACATAATGGATACTTAATCTGGCTGTACATGCATTTTCTTCTAGACAATGAAATTTTATTTTTTTAAATGACAACAAGAAGGCCTAATCTGTTCGTGCGTTGCCAACTTCGTTCAGGGTTTTGAACCTCTAGAGTATAACGTANCCCAACACTTCGTGCCTTATCGACATGTGATAAACTGGTCATCTTCCCCTGTATCGTACAACAGTATACTTTGAATATTAATAGATAGACTGTAGTTATCATGTGGAAAAATAGTGGTTATCATTTTGCATACGATTAACGCCTTTGAAG